TCTCTCATTCCTGTGGGGAGTGAAGTGCAGAATTGGCCCTCTCTCTCATTCTGGGGGAGGGGGAGGCTCCTTTTATTCTGGAGAGGGGTGGGGAGGCCTCTTATTCTGGGGAGGTGGGAAGGCTCTCTCATTCTGGGGAGGGAGTAGGTAGGCCCTGTCATTCTGGAGAGGGGTGGGGAGGCCCTCTCATTCTGGGGAGGGGAGAATGGGGAGAACCTCTCACTCTAGGAACAGGAGAGGGGAGAGTGGGTAGAACCTCTCACTCTAGGAACAGGAGAGGGGAGAGTGGGTAGAACCTCTCACTCTAGGAACAGGAGAGGGGAGAATGGGGAGAACCTCTCACTCTAGGAACAGGAGAGGGGAGAGTGGGGAGAACCTCTCACTCTAGGGATAAGAGAGGGGCGAGTGGGGAGAACCTCTCACTCTAGGAACAGGAGAGGGGGGAGTGGGGAGAACCTCTCACTGTTAAGGACAGTGAGAGGGGCGGGTAATGTTGTCCGCTAACTGGTGTGTGAGGTGAACATAATATCTAGTTAAGGTTGAGTCCCTGGAGCCCTGTTTATTTTCCGACCATTTTTCTTTCTTTTTCTTTAAATCATCGTCGTCAAAGGGGTAAATTACCGTCGTTAAAGGGGTAAATTACCGTCGTTAAAGGGTTAAACCATCGTCGTCAAAGGGTTAAATTACCATCGTTAAAGGGTTAAATCACCGTCGTCAAAGGGTTAATTAACCATCGTTAAAGGATTAAATCATCATCGTTAAAGGGTTAAAGCATCGTCGTCAAAGGGTTAAATCATCATCGTTAAAGGATTAAATCATCATCGTTAAAGGGTTAAAGCATCGTCGTCAAAGGGTTAAAGCATCGTCGTCAAAGGGTTAAAGCATCGTCGTCAAAGGGTTAAATCATCGTCGTCAAGGGTTAAGCATCGTCGTCAAAGGGGTTAAATCATCGTCGTCGAGGTTAAACCATCGTCGTCAAGGGTTAAGCATCTCGTCGTCAAGGGTTAAATCATCGTCGTCAAGGTTAAATCATCGTCGTCGAGGGTTAAACCATCGTCGTCAAAGATTTAAGCCATCTCGTCGTCAAGGTTAAGCCATCGTCGTCAAAGGGTTTAATCATCGTCGTTAAAAGGGTTAAAAGCATCGTCGTCAAAGATTCACTTCTTATCGTCGTCAAAGGGTTAAATCATCGTCGTCAAAGGTTAAAAGCATCGTCGTCAAAAGTTCATCATCGTCGTCAAAGGTTGGTTAAACCATCGTCGTCAAAGGTTAAACCATCGTCGTCAAAGGTTAAATCATCGTCGTTAAAGGGTTAAAGCATCGTCGTCAAAGGGTTAAATCATCGTCGTCAAGGGTTAAATCATCGTCGTCAAGGGTTAAGCTTCATCGTCGTCAAGGGTTAAACCATCGTCGTCAAGGTTAAGCCATCGTCGTCAAAGGGTTAAACCATCGTCGTCAAGGTTAAATCATCGTCGTTAAAGGGTTAAACATCGTCGTCAAGGGTTAAACCATCGTCGTCAAAGGTTAAGCCATCGTCGTCAAAGGTTCGCCGTAATATTAAAGGGTTAAATCATCGTCGTTAAAGGGATTTAAGCATCGTCGTCAAAGGGTTAAATCATCGTCGTCAAGGTTAAATCATCGTCGTCAAAGGTTAAATCATCGTCGTCAAAGGGTTAAAGCATCGTCGTTAAAGGGTTAAACCATCGTCGTCAAAGGGTTAAACCATCGTCGTCAAAGGGTTAAACCATCGTCGTCAAAGGGTTAAACCATCGTCGTCAAAGGGTTAAACCATCGTCGTCAAAGGGTTAAGGTCAACCAAGAAGGTACACATTCACCTGCACTAACCTTTGTGACAACAGTGAACGATAACTTGTGAACCAGGAGATAGGAAATTAAATGACATTAGTCGATACGTTTTTGAGTGTGACTTGATGTGGTGAGGGTATGAGATAGATAGATAGATAGATAGATAGATAGATAGATAGATAGATAGATAGATAGATAGGCTTATTTCCAGTTGGCGTTTGTGTCTGTTGTCTAAACGTAAAGAAAAGCTAGTCATAGTTCCTGTTTATTTACGGGTTCTGTTAGTGACGACAAACCGTACCTGTTACTTGATGTCACATAGCTGCCATCGTCACCCCCCAACCAGGCCGTAACACCACCCAGCAGTATGACACAGTGCCAGGTGACACAGTGCCAGGTGACACAGTGCCAGGTGACACAGTGCCAGGTGACACAGTGCCAGGTGACACTCGCTCCTTCCAGCCCCCGACAAGACCTTCCCTGGTACACTTTTCTCCATTGGTGGCGACACAGCTGACAGCACCGTGATGTTGTTACCTGGTGATGTTACCTGTTGGTGATGTTACCTGGTGATGTTACCTGCTGGTGATGTTACCTGCTGGTGATGTTACCTGCTGGTGATGTTACCTGCTGGTGATGTTACCTGTTGGTGATGTTACCTGTTGGTGATGTTACCTGTTGGTGATGTTACCTGTTGGTGATGTTACCTGTTGGTGATGTTACCTGTTGGTGATGTTACCTGCCTATGATGTTACCTGTTGGTGATGTTACCTGCTGGTGATGTTACCTGTTGGTGATGTTACCTGGCCGGGTGATATTTGCCTGCTGGCGATGTTACCTGCTGGTGATGACACTGCTGCTGGTGATGTTACCTGCTGGTGATGTTACCTGTTGGTGATGTTACCTGTTGGAGATGTTACCTGTTGGTGATATTACCTGCTGGTGATGTTACCTGTTGGTGATGTTACCTGCTGGTGATGTTACCTGTTGGTGATGTTACCTGCTGGTGATGTTACCTGCTGGTGATGTTACCTGCTGGTGATGTTACCTGTTGGAGATGTTACCTGCTGGTGATGTTACCTGCTGGTGATGTTACCTGCTGGTGATGTTACCTGCTGGTGATGTTACCTGTTGGTGATGTTACCTGTTGGTGATGTTACCTGCTGGTGATGTTACCTGTTGGTGATGTTACCTGCTGGTGATGTCACCTGTTGGTGATGTTACCTGCTGGTGATGTTACCTGTTGGTGATGTTACCTGTTGGTGATGTTACTACACCTGGTGATAATAATTGGTGAAGGTTCATCAAGGTTAATTGTGTCTCTTAATACTTAACAGTGTTGTAGTGTAGTGTAGTGTAGTGTAGTGTAGTGAAGTGAAGTGAAGTGTAGTGTAGTGTAGTGTAGTGTAGTGATGTGTAGTGTAGTGATGTGTAGTGTAGTGTAGTGATGTGTAGTTTAGTTTAGTGTAGTGTAGTGTAGTGTAGTGTAGTTATGGTGTGAGAAGGAGGAGGGGAGAGGTGGGGTAAAGGGGGTCGGAGTGGAAGGGTGAGGGAAGGGGCGGGAGTGGATGGAGTGGTGGGATTGTGGTCTAGGGCGATGACTTGAAGTGATTGTTGGAGTATGACCTACGATTTTGAGGTCATCCTTGTACTCGTTGTTAGCCTCGTTGAGTTCAATGTCGTCAGTGGTTGGGTGAGGCTCTCTCTCTCTCTCTCTCTCTCTCTCCACCCCTTCTCCTCCCTTGTCCCTTTTCTCCATCCTCCCCCTTCCCTCCCATTTTCAACCCCTCTTCCTTATTCCTCCATTTCTAACCCTTGTTCCTCCCTTTTCCTTCCCCCCTTTCTCCCCCCTCTCTCTCCCTTTTTTTCCCATTTCTCCCTCCGTCCCTCCTCCCTTCATTCCTGCATCACCTGATTATCTCCCACCCTCCCCCACCTGAGTACCTCCTCCTCCTCCTCCTCCTCACCTGACTCCTCCCCCACCTGAGTCCTCCCCCTCCCTCCCCTCACATGACTCCCTCCCCTAGAGCAATCACGGCCAGGTGGAATGTCACCTGCCACCCCTCATACTGATATCCTATGCTTTCAGTGCCAGTGTCACTAATTTCACCACACCTGAGTGATGGTCCGCCCCTGCCTCTGGCATCACACACACGCCTTACAGATCACGCAGTACACGTTCCCCCATACTACAGCCTCCTCCCTCCTCCTCCTCCCCCTCCCCCCTCCCCTCCTCTCCTCCTGTACACCCACGTTGTCTCCCCACCCCACTGTTCTCCGTAGTCCCCCACGCCCACTGTTCTCCGGTACACCCAGTTCCCCACGCCCACTGCTCCAGGTACACCCACATTGTCTCCCACGCCCACTGTTCTCCCGGTACACCCCTCCCTCCGGTACACCATGGTTGTCTCCCCCACGCCCACTGTTCTCCTGTACACCCATGGTTGTCTCCCCCACGCCCACTGATCTCCTGTACACCCTCTCCTCCTGTCTCGCCCACACCCATGGTTGTCTCCCCCACGCCCACTTCTCCTGTACACCCATGGCTGTCTCCCCCACGCCCACCCTCCTGTACACCCATGGTTGTCTCCCCCACGCCCACTGATCTCCTGTACACCCATGGTTGTCTCCCCACGCCCACTGTCTCCGGTACACCCATGGTTGTCTCCCCACGCCCACTGTTCTGCACACCCATGGTTGCTCTCCACGCCCACTGTTCTCCTGCACACCCATGGTTGTCTCCCCCACGCCCACTGTTCTCCTGTACACCCACACCCACTGTTCTCTCACCCACCTCCCCCCACGCCCACTGTTCTCCTGTACACCCATGGTTGTCTCCCCCACGCCCACTGATCTCCTGTACACCCATGGTTGTCTCCCCCACGCCCACTGTTCTCCTGTACACCCATGTCTCCCCCCACGCCCACTGATCTCCTGTACACCCATGGTTGTCTCCCCCCACGCCCACTGTTCTCCGGTACACCCATGGTTGTCCCGCCCACTGTTCTCCTGTACACCCTGTCTCTGTTCTCGGTACACCCATGGTTGTCTCCCCCACGCCCACTGTTCTCCCACCCATGGTTGTCTCCCCACGCTGTTCTCCGGTACACCATGGTTGTTCCCCCCACCCCATGGTACACCTGGTTGTCTCCCCCACTGCTACACCCATGGTTGTCTCCCCCACGCCCACTGTTCTACACCCATGGTTGTCTCCCCACGCCCACTGCCCATGGTGTCTCCCCCCGCCCAGTACACCGTCTTGCTCTGTACACCCATGGCTCCCCCACGCCCACTGTTCTCCTGTACACCCATGGTTGTCTCCCCCACGCCCACTTGCTCTCCTGTACACCCATGGTTCCCACGCCCACTGTTCTCCTGTACACCCATGGTTGTCTCCCCCACGCCCACTGTTCTCCGGTACACCCATGGTTGTCTCCCCACGCCCACTGTCTCCTGTACACCCATGGTTGTCTCCCCCCACGCCCACTGTTCTCCTGTACACCCATGTTTGTCTCCCCACGCCCACTGTTCTCCTGTACACCCATGGTTGTCTCCCCCACGCCCACTGTTCTCCTGTACACCCATGGTTGTCTCCCCACGCCCACTGCTCCCACACCCATGGTGTCTCCCCCACGCCCACTGATCTCCTGTACACCCATGGCTGTCTCCCCCACGCCCACTGTTCTCCACTGTACACCCATGGTTTGTCTCCCCCACGCCCACTGTTCTCCGGTACACCCATGGTTGTCTCCCCCACGCCCACTGTTCTCCGGTACACCCAGGCTGTCTCCCCCACGCCCACTGTTCTCCGGTACACCCATGGTTGTCTCCCCACGCCCACTGATCTCCTGTACACCCATGGTTGTCTCCCCCACGCCCACTGTTCTCCGGTACACCCATGGTTGTCTCCCCACGCCCACTGTTCTCCGGTACACCCATGGTTGTCTCCCCCCACGCCCACTGTTCTCCGGTACACCCATGGTTGTCTCCCCCGCCCACTGTTCTGTACACCATGGTTGTCTCCCCCACGCCCACTGTTCTCCTGCACACCCATGGTTGTCTCCACGCCCACTGGCACACCCATGGTTGTCTCCCCCACGCCCACTGTTCTCCTGTACACCATGTTTGTCTCCCCCACGCCCACTGTTCTCCTGTACACCCACCCATAGTTTTGTACACCCATCTCCCCCCACGCCCACTGTTCTCCGGTACACCCATGGTTGTCTCCCCCACGCCCACTGTTCTCCGTACACCCACTGTGTCTCCGGTACACCCATGGTTGTCTCCCCCCACGCCCACTGTTCTCTGTACACCCATGGCTGTCTCCCCCACGCCCACTGTTCTCCTGTACACCCATGGTTGTCTCCCCCCACGCCCACAGTACACCCATTGTCTCCCCACGCCCACTGATCTCCTGTACACCCATGGTTGTTCCCCCACGCCCACTGATCTCCTGTACCCATGTTGTTCCCCCACGCCCACTGTTCTTTCCACGCCCACTGTTCTCCTGTACACCCATGGTTGTCTTCCACGCCCACTGTGTACACCCATTTTGTCTCCCCCACGCCCACTGTTCTCCTGTACACCCATGGTTCCCCCACGCCCACTGATCTCCCACACCCATGGTTGTCTCCCCCACGCCCACTGTTCTCCGCACACCCATGGTTGTCTCCCCACGCCCACTGATCTCCTGTACACCCATGGTTGTCTCCCCCACGCCCACTGATCTCCTGTACACCCATGGTTGTTTCCCCCACGCCCACTGTTCTCCGGTACACCCATGGTTGTCTCCCCCACGCCCACTGTTCTCCGGTACACCCATGGTTGTCTCCCCCACGCCCACTGTTCTCCTGTACACCCATGGTTGTCTCCCCCACGCCCACTGTTCTCCTGTACACCCATGGTTGTCTCCCCCACGCCCACTGATGTTTGGTTAAGTTGTGAGGGAGGGAAGGAAGTGTGGGCTGGAGGATGGATGACTGGGTGGGTAAACGTACATGAATATAGATGAACATTATCGCAGTTGTACGCTACAGTATGTGTACACTAGGTCTGATATATAGATCAGCTGTACATTAGGGCAGATGTATACATATGTAAGTGTACACCTGGGTATGTGTACAGTATCTCAGGTGTTCACTGTCCAGGGTGTACACTATCTTAAGGTATACACTGACCAAGGTGTACACTGTCCTAGGTGTACACTGACCAAGGTGTACACTGACCAAGGTGTACACGCACACACTTCACCCCCTTGCTAATACTCCAAGTCATATTCTTATTAAATCTGTGTTAGGTGATGACACGCGAGACTAATGGTGGAGTTAACACCACCTCTGTAAATTACACTTGAGCATTGTGACGCCCCAGCCACGGCCGTCACACCACACCACCCTGCCGTCACACCACACCACCCAGCTGTCACACCACACCATCACCACACCACATCATCATCACACCACACCACCATGGCCGTCACACCACACCACCCTGCCGTCACACACACCACCACACCACACCACCCGGCCGTCACACCACACCACCACGGCTGTCACACCACCCACCCGGCCGTCACCACACCATCACCACCATCACACCACACCATCACACCACACCACCATGGCCGTCACATCACACCACCCTACCGTAACACCACACCACCCTGCCGTCACACCACACCTTCCTGTCTTCACACCACCACCGTCACACCAACCACTACCGTAACACCAACCACTACCGTAACACCACACCATCGTCATACCAACCACCACCATCGTCATACCAACCACCACCACCGTCACACCAACCACCACTGCCGTTTCTTATGAGTGTTCTAATTACCCAATCACGAATCATGACACAAACGACCATGGCCCATCACTCACCAATCACGAACACAGCTTGACGGCACGACACGACCTTCTCCCCACTTCCCCACCACCTGTCTCCCCACCTCCCCATCACCTGTCTCCCCACCTCCCCATCACCACCCTCTGTGGACGACTTGACTTCTTTGGGAAGACGATGATTTAAACCTTTGGGGGGACGATGATTTGGCTGGGAAAAGTGTGGAGGAGTGTGCGGGAGGGGTGGTGTGGTTTGGGGGAGTGCGTGGGGGTGTTGGTGTGGGGGATTGTATGTGTGTGGGTGTTAGTGGGGTGTGGGGGTCAGTCTCTGCTCGGAGTAACATCAACAAAAACAACCTTGCGGCGCCTCGCTTATCCTCGTCATTATTAAAGGCAGCAACAAGAGCCTCGTCACTGTGTTGTGTTATGAAGAGAACGAGGCGCTACTGTCACCCTGGCCTCGTCCTTGTCAGTGGCCTTAAGAGCCCAGTGTTGACCTGGGTGGCGGTGTTCCTGTGTCGGTGGAACGATTGTCTCTCATATTGTGGACCAGGTTCGATGCCCTCCTTAGGTTGGTTGTGAGAAGGGTGACACTACCCAACATGGCAGGGGTCCTGTACTTGCTACCATGAGACCACGCCCCACTCATGGAGGATGGCCTCACTGACCATGGAGGATGGCCCCCACTGGACCATGGAGGATGGCCCCACTGGACCATGGAGGATGGCCCCTCAATGGACCATGGAGGATGGACCATGGAGGATGGCCCCACTGACCATGGAGGATGGCCTCACTGGACCATGGAGATGGCCCACTGACCATGGACCATGGAGGACACCATGGAGGATGGCCCCATGGAGGATGGAGACATGGAGGATGGGACCATGGAGGACCTCATGGGAGGATGGCCCCACTGACCATGGAGGATGGCCCTCACCTGACCATGGAGGATGGCCCCTCACTGACCATGGATGGCCCCACTGGACCCCCACTGACCATGGAGGATGCCTCATTGACCATGGAGGATGGCCCACACTAGACCATGGAGGATGGCCCCACTGACCATGGAGGATGGCCTCACTGACCATGGAGGATGGCCTCACTGGACCATGGAGGATGGCCCTCACTGGACCATGGAGGATGGCCCACACTGACCATGGAGGATGGCCCCTCATTGGACCATGGAGATGGGACCATGGAGGATGGCCCCCACTACATGGAGGATGGCCCTCTGACCATGGAGGATGGCCTCACTGACCATGGAGGATGGCCTCACTAGACCATGGAGGATGGCCCTCACCGACCATGGAGGATGGCATCATGGACCATGGAGGATGGCTCCACTGGACCATGGAGGATGGCCCTCACTGGGCCATGGAGGATGGCCCCACTGGATCATGGAGAATGGCCCTCACTGGATGGATGGCCCCACTGGACCATGGAGGATGGCCCTCACACATGGAGGATGGCCCCACTGACCATGGAGGATGGCCCTCACACCATGGAGGATGGTTCCCACCATTCACTGACCATGGAAGATGGCCTCACTGACCATGGAGGATGGCCCCACTGGACCATGGAGATGGCCCTTCATGGAGGATGGGATCATGGAGAATGGCCTCACCGGATCATGGAGGATGGCCCCACTGGACCATGGAGGATGGCCCTCACTGGACCATGGAGGATGGCCCCACTGGACCATGGAGGATGGGACCATGGAGGATGGCCCCTGGACCAGGAGGATGGACCATGGACCACTGGACCATGGAGAATGGCCTCACCGGATCATGGAGGATGGCCCCACTGGACCATGGAGGATGGCCCTCACCATGGAGGATGGGACCATGGAGGATGGCCCCCACTGGACCATGGAGGAACTGGATCATGGAGGATGGCCCTCACCATGGAGGATGGGACCATGGAGGATGGCCCTCACTGGACCATGGAGGATGGCCTCACTGGACCATGGAGGATGGCCCTCACTGGACCATGGAGGATGGCCCTCACTGGACCATGGAGGATGGCCCTCACTGACCATGGAGGATGGCCCCACTGACCATGGAGGATGGCCCTCACTGACCATGGAGGATGGTTCCCACTGGACCATGGAGGATGGCCCCACTGGACCATGGAGGATGGCCTCACTGACCATGGAGGATGGCCCCCACTGACCATGGAGGATGGCCCTCACTGGACCATGGAGGATGGCCTCACTGACCATGGAGGATGGCCCCTCACTGACCATGGAGGATGGCCCTCACTGGACCATGGAGGATGGCCCTCACTGGACCATGGAGGATGGCCTCACTGACCATGGAGGATGGCCTCACTGACCATGGAGGATGGCCCCACTGGATCATGGAGGATGGCCCTCACTGGACCATGGAGGATGGCCTCACTGACCATGGAGGATGGCCCTCACTGGACCATGGAGGATGGCCTCACTGACCATGGAGGATGGCCCCACTGACCATGGAGGATGGCCCTACGGATCATGAGGATGCCTCACTGGACCATGGAGGATGGCCTCACTGGACCATGGAGGGGCCTCACTGACCATGGAGGATGGCCCCACGGACATGAGGATGGCCTCACTGACCATGGAGGATGGCCCTCACTGACCATGGAGGATGGCCCTCACTGACCATGGAGGATGGCCCTCACTGGACCATGGAGGATGCTCACTGACCATGGAGGATGGCCCTCACCGGATCATGGAGGATGGCCCTCACTGACCATGGAGGATGGCCCTGACATGGAGATGGCCTCACTGACCATGGAGGATGGCCCTCACTGGACCATGGAGGATGGCCCTCACTGACCATGGAGGATGGCCCCCACTGACCATGGAGGATGCCTCACCGGATCATGGAGGATGGCCTCACTGACCATGGAGGATGGCCCACTGACCATGGAGGATGCCACTGACCATGGAGGATGGCCCTCACTGGACATGGAGGATGGCCCTCACTGACCAGGAGGATGGCCCTCACTGGACCATGGAGGATGGCCCTCACTGACCATGGAGGATGGCCCTCACCGGATCATGGAGATGGCCCTCACTGGACCATGGAGGATGGCCCCCACTGACCATGGAGGATGGCCCTCACTGGACCATGGAGGATGGCCCTCACTGACCATGGAGGATGGCCCTCACTGGACCATGGAGGATGGCCCTCACTGGACCATGGAGGATGGCCTCACTGACCATGGAGGATGGCCCTCACCGGATCATGGAGGATGGCCTCACTGGACCATGGAGGATGGCCCCACTGGACCATGGAGGATGGCCCTCACTGGACCATGGAGGATGGCCCTCACTGACCATGGAGATGGCCCCACTGACCATGGAGGATGGCCCCACTGACCATGGAGGATGGCCCCCACTGGATCTGTAGAGTGCCAGGTAGTCGAAACTGACGAGTCTGTAGTGTAAATATATCAATCATTAACAACGAGTACACACACACACACACACACACACACACACACACACAGTGCTATGAGCGGAGTCTTCCTCATCTCGGAGAAAGTATCGGGGAATGACCTCAAGTAAGGTAGCGGTTGGGGAAAGGTGGAGCAATTTGGTGTAGCCTTTGAAGGGGGCACTGTCGGGTTTAATTAGATTGACTGCCGCGTATAGTCTTTACCGAACAAGTATGCCGCCAATTTACGAGGATGAATTAGTGGCCAACGATGACACCACTCAGCGGGCCTCCTCCTGCTCGCTATTAATAACATATTTACTCCACACTATGAAGGCAACACCTGGGGAGGGGGAGGGCAGAAGGCCAGTATTTGGGGATATATTTTGATGGCTCGTGTTGTGTGTTGATATTGTTAGCATTGACGGTATGATAATGACATTACTGTAGAGGCGCGGCTCGCCACCACCTCACAATATACAGTACACAACACTGACTTTTTTCTTCATTACTTCTCGTTATGTTAGTCTGAGGCTCAGCTTGCAAGATGATAATTGAATAATTACATCAAGCAGTTTTCAACCAGAGGGC